TCCAACAACAACAAAAAAAAACATCTAAAGCAATGGTCACTTGCTTCTGGCGCTAACTGCAAAATAGGAGAATGGAGGAGGGAGTTCATACTGTCTGGTGCCTTTTTAAAGGGTTTCTTTGCGGAATGAAGACCCAGAACTCTATTCTATGATGGGGAGAGTAAGCCTTCCAGCAGCACCAGGTTCAGCTGAGTGGTCCCGTAGTCATCCAACAGAGCCGGCTTTATGTTCTCCCGTGTCCACGCGAAAGAACTGCCATCCTGACCTCTCCCCATGGCTCCTGGAAGTGCTTCTGCCAAGATGATGAAAAGAAAACCCAGTAAACCAAAGGGGGCTCTATGTGAGCTCCTAAAAGTCCTAATGCACTCAACTCACACATCCTTGTCTTGTCTCACAAATAAAACCTGCTAGTAGTACTTCCAAATATGGTATCACCAAGCACATGGAGAAATCAGTCACCCAGAGCCAGATAAAGCCTAAATCTGTCGTCCTCTCCAGGATCTCAGTTACAGCTTCACCTTTCTCATCCCTGTGCTTTTGCTCCCTAAAGTTAGCTTCTACTGTATACTTGGCAGGAGTGAAAGTTATATGTGTGTTTTAAAAGCCTTAGTGTATCTTGGAGTAGAAGACTTCAAGAGTATTTTTGGCCTCAACTTTAGGGCAGAAAAAAAAATTTTTTTTTTCAATGAGAAACTAATGAGAGTATTGAAAACTGATGTTGGCCGGGAGCTTGGAATAGGACTGTGAGTTATAACCACTCAAGATTTTACTAGGAAAATGTAGCCCAGAAATATTATGATTATACAAGAGTGACTTTAAAGACTACTTTTAAGCAACTAATTTCAGGGATCAGGAATGATTTCAAATGCTTGAACTTTTTTTCAGCTGCCTTCAAAGCAATTCTCTGGGAGAATGCAAGCACTCAGCATGGTGTGGGGTAAATGCTCCCATCCTTCCTTGGTCATTCATTCCCACTGGCTGGTGTTTTAATTCACATAGCATCATGGGTGTTCTGCCTTCTGTCCAGTCTTGTAAAGCCGTCACACAGAGAAGGTTAATTAACTGGGGCAGACTGGGATAAGCCAGTTCTTAAGACTAGTTGGGGGGGCCAGTGCTGGGCCAGGCAGCAACAGTGTGAGGCAGGGGAGGAACAGGCAACAACATGTCGTGGAAACAGATTCATAAGTGAGACAGTTCCAAGAGCAAGGCGGCTGGGCCAGGCACTGTTCAGAGCTGCAAGCTCAAAGCTTCCAGAATCCCATTCCAGACTGAGGCACTGTCTATGCCTGGGTGAGATAGGATCAAGGCATCGTCCCAGGTCTTGATCAAGTACATTGTCAGGGTGGGGTCCCCACACTGAGGAACAAGATAAGGAGAAGACGTTCAGTAATTCACTTAACAAATATTCCTGGAGTTTGGACTATGTATCAGGAACCAGGGTTAGGACACAGAAGAAAACAGATTCAAATCCCTACCCTCACAGAACTTACAGTCTAATGGAGGAAGCAGAGAATACACAACATATACACAACATAATAAATAAGTAAAATAAATTGTATTGGAGAGTGAAAAGGGGGAGGGGAGAAAAATCAAGCAGAGAAGGGGGTTATGATGTTTCCATTGGGAGAGGGTTGAAATTTTATTATATATATAGGAAGGGAGAGGGAGAGAGAGATAGAAACATCAATGAGAGAGAATCATTGATCGGCTACCTCCTGCACGCCCACACTGGAGATCACGTTAACATTAACAGAAACTGCCTGGTTCCGTGTCACCACAGATGCTTTCTGGCTGACCCTTAAAGTTCATGTAGTCCAGTCCGGACATATGCCCTGACTGGGAATCAAACTGTGACCTCCTGGTTCATAGGTTGATGCTCAACCACTGAGTCACACCAGCTGGACGCAGGTTGAAATTTTAGCTCCATGGTCAAGGAGGTGCCTTTGGAACAGAGAGCTGAAGGAAGTGGGGAACAAGCCCTGTCAGTCAATAGGGAAGACTTCCTGGCAGACCTCGGAGGTATTGTGGGTTTGGTTCCAGACCACCACAATGAAGTGAGTGGTCATCTCTGTTTGGTGGTGGGTCTTGCCTTCAATTTGTAAAAAAAAAAACAAAAACAATATCTGTGAAGCACAATAAAACCAAACGCAATAAAATGGAGTACGCCTGTATTTCCCCAATGGCAAAGGTTGAGATGCTGGAAATGGGTCACAAGGTCAGTCAGACCAATAGCATTGATTGATGCTTAGTCTCCTGAGGTTGAATTAAAACTGCTTAAATCAGGACAGGACTGAGTTCTTATCCCTGTATTGCAGCGTGGAGCACAAGTGCTCGATAAATGTTTATTGAGCTGAGTCCTTAAATCTTCCAGGATCTGGGTGAGGCTGAGATAAAGGTGACCCATAATACTCAGGACAACCCTTCGATCCATGATGACCCTTCCACAAAAAAATGTGTTGATCTCTGTC